GTTACGGGTGGCTACTTTTTGCTGACGTTTTTATTTGTGGTTTGTTCCGGGGAACCTCAGCTCTTCCGTGCTCTTCTTCTTTTTTGGTGTCACCATCAGCAAAACTCGATTCGTATCAGCTGGATCACGCAGTCCCGGTTTAGTCGGCACCAAATCGACCTTTTGCCCTAGCTGGCTAATAGCCTGGACTTGAATCTAATGGAAGCGTATGGGGATTCATGATAAGGGAGATTCAATAAAGAAACTAGCAGTTGGAGGTAACCATGAACTCAAGAATGCAATTGTCAACGGTTGGGGCAAGTTGGCCAGAAACTGATTGAGAGCCTTCACTTCAGCTTAGACATTAGTAGTTTTGAGATAATTTGAAGGAATGGTGCTCAATTATTCACAAATCATGCAACGTCCTCTCTTTGTCGTCGTCTAGCTGCTGAATGAATGGATTTGGTCAGTGGTTGCACAATTTTGCACAATAGGTAAAGTGACATTTCGCGAAAAAATGAAGGGAAAATTGTCCGTGCTATTGAGATGGAATTCGTTGATACGAGTTACGATCCGGGTAGAGCATAATCACATCAGTCTTTTCCAGAAGTTCCTTGGAACGTGAGTTTTGGTGAAATTCATGAGTGGCTGTATCATTATTCAGAGTAGTTCATTTTCATTGTACCCGTTTGACTTGACTCAAGTACAATCTCTGCTATACTTACAAAAAAACTTCACAGTATGCATCTTCGAAGTCAGGTGTGGTGCTACAATTAATCCAACAACCGGATCCTAGTATAACGCCATGATCTGTAGGTCATCTTCCTGCTTCATTCTCATGTTTCTTGGGTACATTTCTCATCTGTGGCACACTTGTCCATCTCAGGTAAAAGCTGGTTGATCCCGGTATCGTTGGCTTTAGCCGAGAGCGTTGATGGTGCTAATGTTTGAAAACTTGTTTAGCAGATCGCTTGCCGTTCGATTTCTCCCCTTCTGCCGATGCTCGTTCTGCCAGGAAGGACGCTGGCCGCACAAGACTGAGGATATTTCTTGATTTTACACTTAGGCTGGACTTACCCCTTCACTAGGGATAAACATACACAAATATACACGCATACCCATATACACATACACACATATACAGGGTGCGCCACAATTATGGTAACAACTTTTTGGACGCCCGTAATTTCCTTGTTTGAAGGGTTCCTCCGAATTCGCACCTTTCCTTATGTTTACGATATACCGTAGCCCACATTTCTACTTTGGTGCTCTAAATTCGTCAGATTTCGAAAAATGGTGGAGTCTTGCAGTCATCCACCACCCGTTCCGTCTGTGCGCGCATTTGGTGAGTTCTTTTCTGAGACAGCTCCTCATTTCGACACTTTTCACATGACAGTCTCTTGTATCGCGATGCGCAGACAGGTCAACGACAAACGCAAGACGGTCGTCTTGCCTCACATACAACCCCTTTTCCGAATAGAATTTTCTGGGAAGGAGCACGCTGCAAAACCTGCCGAAATACGAGAAAAATGACTGCTGATTTGTTTGTATGTTCTACTCCGATGAGAAGATTCTACCCCTAAATATAAATGTATCCGGATCGACTTAGGAAGCCTTATTAGCTTCTTTGCGAGAAAGAGTTGGAGAGAAAAAAGAAATGCCGGGCGCTAGTCGCGCACTGCACGCATTTCGACACACTTCTTTCTGACTAAAGGGAGAAATGTGTCAAATGAAATGGATCCCAGCGTATACGCATATTTCACAGTACAAGTGCTGAAGCCGCTGAGAGCAGTCGGATCGCCCCTCATTTCCCCTCCTTCACGATGATTTGGACTAGAATCTTTACCACAGTGCCATATCGCAAATTTTGGTAGCAAAATGTTGGTCGCAAATCGCAAAATTTATCCGAATCTCTTTAAGAAGAGCTTTTCTGAAAGGATGCAGCTTATGGTTAGAAATTTCACTAGAGATACGACTTAGAAACTACGGCGCACTTACTCACGAATAGGAATAATTCAAGACTGGTGCTGGGGATATGTTCGCGACTTTATCCCAGCTTCCAATCCTCCTACGAATTTCCCGGACCACAATGTGATGGGTCGTTGCATAAAGTCCATATTGAGGAGGAAAGCTTGCGCTTAAAAACGCATCACTGTTGCTGCTACATCAAAATCACTGAAAAAAGATCGGGCTGGAATTTTCTCGAGAAATTCTGCGTGCCACCGTCGATGAATAGCCGAAGCGTTCTCGAGACAATTAGTAAAGGAAATGGTTATATAAGATAGCCGTGTGTTCATTTTGTAGATGCGAAGCATAGTAAATGACTCACATGGATTCACCATCTATCAATATGAAATGCGGTTTCTGTAGCCCAATCCTTTTGTTACCATATATATGGCGCACCCTGTACATGCCAATGCATGCACATACAAACATACCAACAACCCAAACCCAGCAGGCACGCTTAGCGCGTTATATTTATTATTTATTTATTTATTTATATATAGGAGGAGTTCCTGCTCAGTGAAGGGAATTTCACAGAATGCTCGAGGCTGCTCGAGTAAATGTGACGAAATTCCCGCGTTCGCCTTTCCTGAAACATGGGCGCTTGTTCCATATGTAATAGCTTCCGTGCTGAACAGGTTTTCTTATAATGGAACATTTACTACGCTTGACGTTTCGGCAAGCCCATCGTTTTTGAAGACCTGAAAGCTTTTCGAGACCTTAGAGTGTTACCTACGCGCTTGAAACAGACCAAATTTTGATTATTAGTTACAACTCAGAGCAGCGAACTTCCAGCCAAGTAACACGTCCGTTCCACCAACACCGAACCGATCCTCACGATCGAGACGATGGAGCTAATGAGACTGCCGGCCTTCCGCGACTAATGAATAGGTCGTGATGTCACACGTATCGATTACTATCAAAGCTCACACTGTGGGATGTAAGGCAAGAGGTCATAGTTATGATGATGCACTCACTTTTCCTTTTACGCTTGGACTTCGGTGCCTCATCCAGAAAGCCTCTAGGCTTTTCCTGACACCAATACTGTCTTCTAAACCAGAGTCGTGCACTTAATATCAAAGTCAAGACCTGCATGACTTCTATACCGCGTCTGCCTGTTCCTCCGATTGCTAGCTGAATGTTCCTTTACATGAACCCATGACTGTCTCCCAGTTACTCCAGCATAGCAAGATCACATTTCAAACACTGAAGCTGGTAGACCTCGACCCTCTCTGTAAAGTCTCCTTTACTTCCACACGGACGGATCATGCTGTTATCCATGATGCGAATTCGGTCACACGGACGACGCCTAGCTAACTGGGAATGTTGTCTCTTGGTGTGTCAAGCAATAAGACGTCATTGGCAAGATTTGCCCTTTGGACGTGTTGCTCTTTACTGCGCTAAATTGATCTGATATAAATGGTAGTGTAGATAAGCGTTATGTTACTTCTGCATGGAGAAGGCCTTGGTCTGCTTTGCGTACTATGCTGCCGCGCTGTGTATCCGTTAGGATTAACTATTCACTCACTAATCTGTACACTTGCCAGTCCTCGTGTCGGTGCACACCTCCACCGCCGTCTTGTACTATTTCGCAGTACTGTGCGTTTAACAGCTCTAAGGTACTCCGGCGTTGCGTGAATGTTGATATTCTTGGAGCCTCCATTTCTATTCCATTTCACACTGCGTGTCCCCCTATAACCCTCACCCGAGTATTCAGAGAAGGAAACCTGTCTTCGTTTGGGATCTCTCGAGTTAGATTGATGTACTGCGATGGACTGGTAAGAATGTTAATCAACTCAGCCATTTCTGATTGAGCTGAAGTTGTGACGAGAAAAGTCGTCGTTGTAACGACAGTACAACAACGCGCTATCACCTCACGTTTGAATCTACTCATAAACCAGACAGCAAGAACTGGTGGCGACCGCTGTCACATCGGAAACCTCATCTGTGAGAGGTACCGTCCGGACTTAAATATATTGCGGTTCAAGCACTTCTTGATGCGAGTTGGTACCTTTGCTTTGCTCAATCCAAACGTCACCTCACTTCTTGCGTGCTAGTCAAGCATTCCCGAAACTAGGTCTATAACCGGCTGTGTTAATGGGCCGTCCAATCGCGTTTCATGGTTTCAAGATAGAGCCATCGGCACCATCACATCTGTCAAATACGAGACAATTCTTGAATCGCTTACGATCTTGCAGTTTCCAACCTAACTGCCTGGTGTAGTCATTCGATGTGTCTGCGCTCTACACCGACGTAGTGGCAACGAAACTTTGCAAGCAGTTTTCAGAAGTGTTCAACGCGCAAGCAAGAAGTGTGAAGACGTTCAGATTGAGCAGAGAGCAAAAATTGCAATATATGCAATTGGTCTGGTAGATACTTTTTACACAAAATAGGGATTGCGATGAAACAACAGAGGGCACCGTTTCTCGATATCTGCTTTATGAGGAATTCGAACGTCTAGTGCTGGGCACGCTTGCCCATAACTTACTGTCGTTAAACCAACATGACTTTAACTCAGTCAGAAATGGATGGGCTGTTCAACATTATTAACAGTCAATCGCAGTAGGTCAAACTAACTCGAGAAATCGCGGGGACTGGTTGCCCTTGATGAACACTCAGGTGGGGGTTATAGGTGGAACATACGGTGTGAAATGTTATATAAATGGAAACCTCGAGAATATCATCTTCCACGCAACTTCGAAGCACCTCAGAGCTGTTAAATGCGCAGTTTTACGGAACATGTACAAAACGGCTGTGGCAATGTACACTGGCAACGAGGAGCGGGAGGAGTCTAGAAGATTAGCTCAGCAGATAGCTACTCTTCGCGGATACACAGCGCGGCAGCATAGTACACGAAGGAGGCCGAGGCTCGCCACATTCAGAATTAACATAGGTCTCATCTACAACTACCGTTTGTATCAGATCAGTTTGGCGCAGTTATATGTACAGCAAAGCTTCGAAAGAGCAGATATAACCAAGTGCCCATATGGGCTGGCACCCCACCAAGCGCACAAACTATGGACGACGACGAACTTATCCAGAGTTTTAACGATTTTTTGACCGACAGTGACGAGGAGTCGGAAGAGTCTGCAGTTGATTACGGTGTTGTGCTCTTTGTCAATGATGGTGTAGAAGAATCGGATGACGACGCACCAGAACTTTGCCAAAAGGAATCGGGTGTACGTTAAGCCCTAACTATTCTATTGATGTTGAGAATATTTTAGATGTCATAATGTAAGCAAGTGACATGCAATTACTACCTGGCAACCCATATGGGCTGCCATCCGCGTAAATGTGTCGAGACCTAGTTGATCCTACCTATGACCAGATTTGCATCACGGATAACTGCTGATCTAACCGTGGAAAATGCAGGAGACTGTACATCGGACTGTGGTCCACCAGGTTCAGTGTTTGACATGTGATGCTTGCAATATTATCTTAATTGGGGGACAATTATGCGTTTATGTCAAGCAACATTTAGCTAGCAAACAGGGGAATAGCTTGGTTGCATCGCTTGGCAAAGGTGGAAGAGAAAGCATGCTGGTTGTGACTTTGATGTCAAATGCGCAATTTTGCTTACAATAACAGTGTCGCTGCCAGAAAAAGTCGAGAGGCTTTATGGATAAGACCCCGAAATCCAGGCATGGATAAGAAGACTGAGTGCATCAATGTATATTAACTAGTGACCTCTTGCCTTATATCCCACAGCGTGAGCTTCGATAGTAGAACTGATACACGTGACATCACGACCTAGTAATGGGTCGCGGTTGACCGGCGGTTCAATTGCTCTATCGTATCCGTCTTAAGCAACCATTCGGTACCGGTTGAATTGATGCGAGTGACATGCTGGAATTGCTACTTAGTTGGTCTGAGTTGCAACTAGTTGAAAGTTGGTCTGCTTAGAGCGCTATAGGGAACTCTCCACACTATTGAACGCTTTTGAGCCGTTGAAAACGACGAATATGTCAGAACGTAAGGCGTATTAACGCGTTCCACCATTCAAAAACCTGCTCTGCACACAAGCAATAATTACTTGTAACGAAGCTGTTGAATTGCTATACCAAGCTTTTCTAATGTGAAGCCTTCTTTCCACTCTTATGTCAAAACAGTGATCTCGCTTAATCTTTCTGAAGAATATCAGTATTTTGGATAACATAATTGCCTATGATAAAAAATCGTGCATGTTCACGAGTCCATAACCGCAATATGCATTCAGATGCCTCCGCTCTACTGTTGTGTTACCACGGTAGTTTTTCTGCGCAACATGTGATTTATAAAAACACGAATGTACCAGGATACGTCAAAGAGGCCGAGTTTAGTTTAGGCGACAGCGATAGCTTATCTGATCCAGACGCGAAGGACGCTAGAAGCCTTCACAATTTCTAGTGCAATAGTCTTTTGTACGTAGGCTGCCTTTTATATTTCTGGATTTGAGAACAGGAACAAATACTATTTATTGAAAATTGCTTGACTGCCTTTCAAAATTCTCCACATCAAGATCTATACACTTTTGTATGGGCTCGAACCAATTTTCGAAGCACTTTTGTCACTCTGATTAAGTAGCTCTAAAACATGCATTATGAACGCATCAACGGCTTCTTCAGGTGTCGAAAAGCGTTGACCGCTCATTTTATTTTTTACGTACGGGATGAGAAGAAGTCACCCGGGGGCTACATGGCTGTTGACCTGTCAAATCGTTGTTTTGAGTGCTCAAAAATGCGGTTGTTTGAGCCGATGTGTTGGAGCTCGCATTGTCGTGACGTGGGATCCAACGCCAACAAATTTGTTTACGGTCAAATGTTCATGCAAAAATGAATGTAAGCTAGTCCCACTAATGCTTAAGGTTGCCTCAATCTCCCGATAGGTCACATGACGATCTCACAATATTAGTTTGTGCACAGTATCAACGGTTTCCGGAACAACAACTGATTTTAGACGACCTCCACGAAATTCGTCTTCGAGTGAACTACGACCTCGGGTGAAACCACTGTACCATCGATAAACACTGGCCCTGGATGGAGCTTCATCCCCAAAAATTGAACCAAGTTCATCCATGCANTGAGTGCTCAAAAATGCGGTTGTTTGAGCCGATGTGTTGGAGCTCGCATTGTCGTGACGTGGGATCCAACGCCAACAAATTTGTTTACGGTCAAATGTTCATGCAAAAATGAATGTAAGCTAGTCCCACTAATGCTTAAGGTTGCCTCAATCTCCCGATAGGTCACATGACGATCTCACAATATTAGTTTGTGCACAGTATCAACGGTTTCCGGAACAACAACTGATTTTAGACGACCTCCACGAAATTCGTCTTCGAGTGAACTACGACCTCGGGTGAAACCACTGTACCATCGATAAACACTGGCCCTGGATGGAGCTTCATCCCCAAAAATTGAACCAAGTTCATCCATGCATTGGTGTTGAGTTAGTCCACGCCGAAAGTTGTCGCGCAAAAATGCCCACGGTTAAACTCCGTAACTTGGCCGAAACAAAACCTTCTAACTTAGTGTAAACAACACAAATCGCGCTCAAATTTTGCAACGGAACCTCAAAATATTCAAACTTTACGATAGTGGTGTCAGTTGCTAGATTGCTACACTAGTGTTTCCAAATCCCGAAATATAAAAGGCAGCCCTCATAGGCTAATTAGCGCATTCATAACTGGAATATGATTAAGCGGGTGAAAAATGTTGACGGAAATGAGGCTAAACTTTTTATAGCCCATGTCTTGTTTATGGATAAGTTCGATAGCGAAAAATTGCCCTCAACAGGAAATTATGAGATTATCGATTTCGAGAAAACTGGTGGTTTGTTTGTTATGTTCTACGAGAGCAACTTGTTGCCAGCTCTTAGCGATCTTAGTTCATTAAACGTTCCATTTATAACAACATCAAAAGATCTGCTTGAATGATATCGTGGATTCAACTAATGGATTTGTGCTAACAAAATTTTTGATTTCTGATTTAGAGTAGTGCTGCAAACCACAGTCAGAAGATAATACCGCACCCAGACAGTAAAATATAGAGTAAAGATATATTTCGTTATGAACAGATTTTCCTGATCGAATTGATAACCAACAATTCGTATGTGTAGTTGGAGTTCTAAAGAACTTTTTTGACAATAAAATCTAGCCTTTGTTAGTTAAAATTTCGAAGAGTCTAGAATATCTCATTCTTTGCAACAAGATTGATAATATATCTGTGCTAGATCTCAATACTGATAATATAATTTGTTATCTGTGTTAGACCTCAGTGTACTTATGTCTTTGTCGAAGCATCACCATGATCCCATTTCACACTATACGACGGTAGAGTTTGAAAAACTTGCTTGTTCAAAATCTGGGTACTGGCTTGATCGTAGGCAAACAAGTCGAATGTTTTTCGATGCTACCACTCGATTTGAAGTTTTTTGTTTCAGTTTTGTTTGAATGCGTTTTTTAAAGCACGGCCTTGTGTGCGAGTAACCGGGCTCGCATGGATGTCCGTTTTAGTTGGTAGCGTTGATGGTGAAGATTTTCGTCCTTGGCAAATACGATTAGAGGTTGGCTTCACGAGTTTCGCTCTGTAATAGTCGAAACCGGCATCCTTATCCTCTCTGAGAATAAGTGGCTCGAGAGACCTTTACAGTGCTTCGTTTGAGAATATGAAATGTATTAAGTTGAGCCGTTGTTATCGTACTCTCTTTAGTCACACTCTCACGTCTAAACCGACTGACTGTAAGTAAACAGGCGGCTACGCACGCTATTGCGTGCGCTAGGAGCTCTTGCCATGAGGAACGGAGCCACATGAGCTTCTGATTTTCATTATAGACCTTTATCATCTGAGCCTCTTTCAGGACACTTCTGTAGCGGCCATCATTTTTTTTGGGCTCTGTGTGGCCATGAACAGTACTCCGATGTATCCAAATCAAATACCTCAGCAGTTCATGTAGTCGAAGAAACCCTGTGTAGTTCGGGCTGCGTGTGGCCATGAACCCTAACTTCGAAAGGAAAGCTTCTCTGGGTAGTTTTAGGGATTTACACGTCATCACATTTACATTTACACGCATTTGCACTTGGGTAGAAGAGACTACTGTGCGTGGAACAATGGATACTAACTTTTAGAAAATTTTCAGCCTAATTTTTGAAAAAGTTTAGTGGTATCTCCTAGATGTACCCCTCAGNCCCCCCCCCCCTCTTTGCGAACCCCACCCACTTCAGGCTTCGAACCACATTACTTTTATTACCTTTAGACACCTTTTTTCGCGTTCTAAAATGCACCTGAAAAGACTTAATAATTTTGATGTGAGCCCCGCCCACTTCAGTGCCAATCCCGCCCAGTTCTGGGATCTGATCACATTTGCTCTACTACATCATACCGCTTTTCCCGCATCCCAGAACGTTTCTGAATAGAGTTATAAATTTTTGATGTAAGCCCCACCCACTTTAGTGCCGGTCCCGCCCACTTCTGGGATTTGACCACATTTGTTCTTCTACATTTTAATGCCTTTTTGTCGCATCGCAGAACGTTTCTGAAAGTTTGTTCGTATGAATATGGCAACATCATGGAACAAGGTACGGTTGTTTGAGAATTTTCAGGATTTCCCTATTTTTAGGACAAACAACGTGTCCTTCAGCTCTTAGGTGATCTCCTCTGATGAAAAAAGTTCAACTTGACGGGCCGGAAAGATTCCTTCATTACTGGAATGACCTTCGCCGAGAGCCACTCGTGTTCTCAAAGAGAAGGAACTTCGGAGGAGGCTCTTTGATGGTCTGGGCGAGCAAACTCCAGCCTTGTCTGCTTGTGGCGAGTACTGAGACGAGTAGCCTTTCAAATCGTCTCTCGTGTGATATACTCATCAGAGCGGATAGAACGCCAAACGGTCGTACACGATACTGATAAACCCATCTGAGCTCGGATCTGACTCACAGACAAGGAAGTATTCGCCACAAGCATGCTATTCTCCTGTTGTCCTGAGCAGTCAAAATACGTGGAAGGCTAGGAATAGGTTGTGAGCGATAGCTGCCAGAGTCTTGAATGAATCTAGCAACGCATGAAAAAGAGCGGCCCAAAGTATGTGCACACTCAAAAGTTTTCATTTTGAAGGTAGCTAAAGAACCTACCGTAACGAAACCATTCTCAAACGATTCCTCGTAGTCGATAACCTTTCCAGAAATTCAAGGGGCCCAATTGATTTCTGATCTCTGTTGTATTTTTGTTCTTTGCTAAGTGTGCACATACTTTTGAAACAGAGGGAAATCTTTTCTTTAATAAAAAATTAGTGTTAGCAGCTACGATGTTTCCTCAGAGAAAGTGTTCGTAGGTTATAGCGCACAAGGAATTCAATGGTAAAGGTCACAGGTTACAGAAAGCAATGGTATCCCCAAGAAAACAAAATGTTGGGTGTGCTTGAAACACACTGTAGTAAGGATGTTTACCTACTTCATTCAGAATTTTGTAGGACTGCCAGTCTGGCAGCACTGATAAATTTTGGACTGGTGGCACATTTTTGTTGCTGTCACAGCCAATCCAAAACTGCACATCTGGGTATCAGCATTGCAATAAGGTTACTTGAGTATCCAACTGAAGTGGGCAAGTAAAGGGTGGTCCGTAGGTGCTTACCTTATTATGCACAAAATGGGATGGCACAAATGAAATTGACAATATATAGTCAATTGAGGCTTAAGCAGGGTGAAAATTAGCAGCGCCCCTCCGAATCGCTGACGGCTAGACGGCTAGAGCGCAGAGAAGGAAGAGTAGCCGAGCCCTTAATGGTGCTTGGGAACGTTTCATAGCTTTTTATGTTAGAACGCTGTGTTTTTCGACCAGTTTTAGGAAGAGGAGAAGCTCCGGGGTGAGTGGGACAATTGGACGTTCAATTTAATTTTTATCTCATCTCGGCTTTTCGAACGAGATAACCATTTCACCCACCCCGAAGCTCCTCCCCTTCTTAAAGTTAGGTAAAAACAATACTCTTTTGGCTAAAAAGCATCCTTCAATTACATTTTCACCTTAAGCAGTCATGTGATGGAGCAAGAAGAGTTTGTTTGTTCTATAAGTAATAAAAGTTTTGAATCTTTCTGCCCATGCAAAAACATATGAATCAGCCGATAGTCGATGCTTACTACAGCTGCTTTATTATAATATAATATCTCAATTGCGAACCAGCCTAACGTTTTGAGGTATGCACCATCACCATCCACTGCTTGAAGCCAACGCTCAGGCAGCTTCAAAATTCCGTCCTCCCAGAAGGACGGGGCTGGGACTAAAAAAAGTCGAGTTACTCTCTGACCTCATCTTTTGTGTAGATCTAAGAACTTTCGAACGGCATTGTGACCTGCATATGCAGGGTGCGCGAGTGATAGCTAGTGTGAGGAAGGAGTATCTTGCACACTTCACGCTCACCTTATGGCGAAATACCAACATCCATGCAAACGAAATACAGGAGGGTTAGACATGGTGAAAAAAACTTATACATCAACCTAATAACTCATAGACGATAGTGAGGTGAGCCTCGTTTCCCACTACTTTCTTCCATTACCATGCTGAGGGATAAAAAATCATAGTTCAAAGCCTTCTCCTTAGGAGGCATGTGACGTCTCCCATTTTTCCCCGGATACCTTCGGGTGGTTGAATTACTGACTAAGACATAAGCACGTGACCTCCGGGTGGTTGAATAACTGAACATGACATACGCACGTGGTCGTCTTGGTCTTGTGTTTGTATTTGTATATGTACATGTTATTGTAATAATCACCAGCAGCTTAGAAAACTGAGAATCAGCAAAGTTGTTGATTTAGTATAGCTCTTTGATACAATGGAAAAAAGTGTCATTATTCATCGTTAAGACAAACAGATTGCGATGAACCTTCTTTTCTGTCTCTCATATACTAGCTTGGCGAAAAAGTTATCCGTCAAAACGAAAGTCGCTTTGACCGGTGACTCAGAAAATTGCCAGTCAATGGTTATGCGCCTTTTCTGCGCCTTAAATATTATATATATACATATATATTTTTATATATTCAGCTCTAAGCCAGCTGGACAATATGTGGAAGATCTAGTGAAGGGACTGGTCAACTGTCGACAATACCCTTTTCATTAGAGTAGCGGCAATGAATACCACGACTACGCGAATCGGGCGGTTTTTATTCGAGTGGTATACGTCTAAATGAATGTCTAAATGAATATCTTATTCGGCTTGCAAACCAATGATATCACTGGTTTTTGGTTTGTCATTCCCTAATTTCTATGTTGGATTTTGTGGTTTTATTATTCCCACTTGCAATAAATCCACAGTAATGTTCAGCTTTGTTGAGTTTTTAGTATGTTTCCAATAGAATGGCGCCATTGTGAAACATGTGTCTCATGTAGAGTATCGTGTGAATGGAAAACTATTATGATGTACTTGTGATAAGAATGATGTCAGATTCAGAGTTTATATGAATGTATATTTTGTGTGTGCTCATGTGTTTGTATGTATATGTGTTTGTGTGTGCGTGTGTGCGCGCGTATGTATATGTGTCTGTGTGTAAGTGTGTGGTCTTGGGTGGACGATGGCTTAGTGCGGTGGGATAAGACTGAGGTCTGACGACTGAGCACCGGGTCGCTGCTGCCTCACGACCCACAGCCGGACATTGATTAACACGTAGCTTGTGCTTAGTCCCATTATTCATCCACGCCATCATCTAAACATACACCCCGCTCTATGCCCTGGTTTCCTATATGATCTCGTTTTTCATCATTTCGTCCTGCAGACTTCGTCATCGATTCATTCCATCGCGTTTTTTTAGCCTTCATCATTTTTCAGAAATTTCAGACTACGCTTTTTGGTCAGTTCCATCCTGCTCAGCCTTGGACATTCTTTGATCATTACGTCCCTATCGCGACTTCTTGCTTATTTCTCTGATTTCTTCTTTACTATTTCATTATACCAAAGCATGAATGCGATTGTCGCATGTATCGTCTCTTCGTACTTACCTCGTTTCTATGTCTCTTGGTTGGAAATCTGCATAAAATTAGAGCGCAGGAATTAATATATACTATTATCTGACTGAAGCAATGTTTTTCGCAACTTCTCGATTCTGACTCAGGCAGCATTGAATGTGCCTAGAAACCGAATAAAAGATGTGTTAATAGAGGACTTATATTCACTAAAAAAATATGGCCGCATTGCCGCATCGATATTGATGTTCTCTTATATTCAGTCTGTTACTTCGTTATCTACACTGCAGAAAAGTATGAGAACTGGCATTCAAAATCTATTTCGTTTCATATTTTAAGATTTCTTTCCCTTTTCTTGTTGCCGTAATCGCCCTATTGACGATATATGTTTAATCGTCAACCAGCACTCCTGGTTGTTTGTACGAATCTGTGACATCCTTTTCTATTGCTGTACTTTTCCTGTCAATTTATATGGTCTACCAGAATGGCCTTTTGCGGAGCTTTCGAAAAGAATTGTTCTCTTTCACATGAGCTTGTATATCACGGACAAGTTTTCCACTTTTGACGGCAAGCGTTTATTTGATTCAACGATATGTGCTTGATCTTCACCTCCCAGGCACCTTTTTCAGTCTCCAATACATGGCTCTCTGGGCCGAAATCATTCTATCATGAATGCATCGAAATCTATGTTGGATTTTTCTCGCTGTAAACCAACAGTTTAAGGATGACTTGCGTTATATGCACAAAATTGCTAAATCATCCTTTACTGTGCCGTTTTAGTATTTACACTACCTAGTATTTCTTTTGCCTCAATTTCGTTACACTCTTTTTATTAAGAATCCAAATCTCCTATATCGTATCTTCCAGCATTAACTTGCATTGCGGCATTAATTTCATCGTTTAAAAAAGTTACCGCTAACTCATTACATCTTTTTCTATTATTATGCTTGATTTCTTTCCTTCGCTTGCTTGCTACTTTTTTGTTGTGGTTACCAAGGAACCCTAGTTCTTCAGCATTGCACTGTATTTTGTATGTGCCGATATTGACATGCGAGATTTTGCGGCTCATCCGTTGACATTTCAGATCAGTGTCGGCGCCTGATGTGACTGTTATCCTAGTTTCACCTGTCATTTTCCATTTGCAACAATAGTTTCAAATTTACGATAGTGAAGGACGCCAGAGAGCAGAGCCACTGTGGTGCTACACGCCTACGCTTCAGATCTCCACACAATGGGGTGTACGCTTCGTGCGCGACTGAATCAAATATGCTCCATTTGGTACACTACACTAGTATTGTGTATTCAAAGCTACCTCCTTTACCTGGGATTTGAGAGGTTCGAACGTTTTCCAGATTCTTCTTTCTTGCCAATCTATCTGACATCTGACCTATCTCTTCTAAAGTATTTTCGAGTTTGGCCCGAACTTTGTGCATGCACTGGTTCGATATTCTTTATTTTTGTGGATGCGTTTTTACAATTTCCACTGTAAAATCTCGATTTCTAAAAGCGAGTGTTAGCATGGCGACATTGTCGGGACATTGACATTGTTAAGCAAAAAAAAACAGCCTGTTTTTGTTCCAAAAAAATTCCTTTATGGAAAAATATATCCTGTTTCGGACTGACCTCCATGTTTGCCCTCCTTGGAACTCCTTTCTCCTCTGTACGATATATATATATAGTATATATATATATATATAGTATATAGTATAT